TCAGCTCTGAAAATGTACCGTGCTCTTTGGGGGATCTGGGGGAATGAAGCATGTGAAAATTTTGGGTCCAAAAGCCTAGGCCTCTCATGAAGTTCCTCTTTAACTGCTTCTATGACCTAAAGGAAGACAACCACCTGCTATGTCATTTTCCTCTAGTAAAATATGGGTTAAAAACACCTACCTTTCAAAGAGACTATGAATTAGGTATGATAAGTGAAATAGAAGTTTCCTGGGTTCTTAGGAGAAGTCAAACATTCTAAGGCTGAGGTGTCTGGGTCTCTATTGTATCATTGACTCATTGAGCACATGTTATATGTCAAGCACTAGTCTAAGCCCTGGGGATGAACAGACAACTAAAGAGACAAAAATTCTGGGGACTCCTAGAGGGAGGAGAAGTGGAGGAAGGCAAAGGCTGAGAAACTACCTACTGGGTGCTATACTCACTACCTGGGTGACAAGATCATTCATACCTCAAACCTCAGCATCATGCAATGTACCCATGTAACAAACCTGCACATGTAACCCCTGAATCTAAAATAAAAGTGGCAATTATAATTTTAAAAAGTTACTTAATGGGGGAGGAGAAAAGCAAGCAACAAACAAAAAACTAAGTAAAGTAGGTATTAGAAGATGGGAAGATGGGAGATAGTGTGGAGAACAATAAAACGGGGAAGGGGGCCAGGCAATCCTGCAGGTTGTGGTGGATTTCGATTTTCAATATAAAGCTGAGAAAGGACCTCACAAAGAGAGTGACTTTTCAGAAGCACATGAGGAGGTGAGTGAGATAAGGTGAGAACATGAGGATATCTGGAGAAAGAGCAACCCAGGCAGAGAGAATAAAAGGCATGGGAGATTTGAGATGCAAATGTAACTGTGTTTTCAGGGAATAGTGCAAAGGCCGGCACGGCTGCATGGTGGAAAAGAGTGAGTTAGCAGGGGGCGAGACGTATACAGCCTTGGAGCCTATTGAAGGGATTCGCTTCTCTGAGGGAGATGAGAGCCATTGGAGCATTTGATGCAGAGGAGGAACATGGTCTAACTTGCATCTTGAAGTATCCCTCTAGTTACTGTTTTGAGAATAGATTTGTGGGGAGATGCCCAGGTGGAAGCGGTTAGGAGGCAGTGGCAGTAGTGCAGTTAGTGCCTCGGACCAGGGAGGTGGCAATGGAAGCAATGCGAAGTAGTCAGACTCTGGATATATGTCATAAATAGAGACCACACAGGACTTCCTATTGGAATGAATTGGGAGCATTAGAGAAAGAAAGAAGTCACGATTGGCAGCAAGGTGTTTGTTCTAGCAAATGAAAGAATGTACTGGCCATTACAACTCTACTGGTGACACTAGATCAATTTGGGGAAAACTTAAAGCAAATTATTTAACATGATCTCTTTATCTGCCTTTGTTATGTATCTTTCTAAATCATAAAATGGGAGTAATCAACTGAGAATTTTTTTAAGACCTTAATTGAAAGATGCTAGCTAATAAAATTTTTTCTTGCGTCTATTACATTAAAAGGCTTGTTTGATTCTAATAAAATATTTATGATATAAAACATGTCTACAAGAAAGGTTAACAAGAAAGAAATGATAGAATATTATTACTCAGGTTTTATAAGTGAAGAAACTGAGGTCCTGAGAAACTGACATGCACTAAGATGCAGTTCTTCAGATTTCTTCTTCAGAGAACTTTCTAGCATAACCATTACCTCTCTGACAACAGTAAGCCCCATCCATGGTACTTTTTATAATGATTTTTCTCCAGAAAGGCTCTTGGTTTTAATAGCTAATGAACCCGTCAACTAGAGAATATTGATTGTTATATAGGACACAATCTATTACCAGGTTTCCTCTTTCTTTTCCTTTAAATCCTGTTTTCCCACCTTTCAAGTTGAAAAGAGTCTTTAATCTATGACTTTTATTGTTCCTTATATATAAACTAAAATGTGAAGATTGACTTGAAATGCAAATGCTACTTTAACATCTTTCCAGCAAATACTACTTCTTGTACTAATGCTAGAGAGTGTGAGATAAATAAATTGGAGTTCAATTTTTCCTCCTTCTCAATTCTCTCTGTTTGCCATTTTAGAACACTGTGAAAGGCAGCAAGCTATGCTAGAAGATAAAACTTATAACAATTTTTATTTCCTCTGTTGTGACCTCCCCACTGGTCCCCCCCCCCCCAAAAATCTTAACTGTTGGTTTTATAGTCTTCTCTGCTCTCAAGGGATTTGAGGTATGCAAAACTTTGGCTGAGATTGGAAAGAAACAGCTCAGAGGTGGGGACTGCTGCTTAAAATGTTCCTTTGTTTCATTTTTTTTTCCTGTTATTGTATACGAAACTTTGAAACTATCCTGACTTTCCATTCCAAAGGCAAAGGCCAGGACAGGTGCCAATCGCAGCGACCATTTGGTGGAAGGGCATACATGATGATTGGTTTTTATGGGGGCTCAGAGTGAAAGCAGAGGGGATTCTCAGAAGGTTTCATTATGAGATTAAGATGTTGGCCTTGTTAGGGTAAACTGTAATCCTCCGTCACCTTTTGGTGAGAGGGATCCTGTGAGAACCTTCTACAAGGGAGATCTTCAGGTTTAATACCAACAAGCACAATGCAGGGTCGTAGCAGTCCAAGAACTGAGTGGAAACTCCAGGGCTGGGGATGCTAAACTCCATCTGTGTTGATTTGCTTTGTAACCTGAGGCAAGTGTCTCTAAATTCCTTCAGCCTCCACTTCTTCATCTAAGTCAGGCTTGCCACAGGCACAGGTATTGTGTAAATACATGGATACTATCATTCCTTGGGGAAAAAAAAAATGCTTTGTTGAGCCAGCAGCGCTCTCTACTGCTTGAAGCAGGGTGTGAATAAGAGCTCCTGGGTCTTTCACCAAATTGTTAAAGATGTTCTGAGATGCTGTAGAAAAGATGCTTTCATGGCTTTAGAAACAGTACACAACAGCTGCTCAGATTGAGTAGTATCTCTTTAATGGCAGGGTTAGGAAGGTGTGTTTCATTTTTCTTTTGGATAAGTCACTTGGAAGTGATGGACTTATGGGCCTGCTGACCTGGCCATTTGACTATGTCGAACAGCAATCCCACCTTTAACTTGTTAGATTCATTTTCTATACTCCCCTCTATTCTCTCTCACCTCCCAAATACACACACACACACAACACACACACACACACACACATCTCTGCATTTGCCTGACCTGTAGAGTATGATCTGAGGGATGCCAAAGTGCTTCCTGTTGCCACATATATGCATTCCTAAATATTTCTCCTGTTACAACATTTAAACCTGCTGTTTAAATAGAAAATAAGAGTCAAACATATCCCGTTGTTGCTCATGGGATCCGATTTGTGTTTACCAGTGTGGGCTCTGGGTTTGAATCTCAGCCTTGTCACTCAGCTCTGTGAAATCTCTGAGCCTTGATTTTATCTTCTGTAAAATGGTAGCAGTAATGGTACAGCCCTCATAGGATTGCTGTACAAAGTAAAGATGATAATGATGTAAAATCCTTGGAATGTTGCCTGATGCATAATAAACACACAGTAGACACAGCTGCTGAGGTTATTATTGAAGTGGTACAGCGGAAAGAAATGGTACGGAGGAAGGTCAATCAGGATGGCGTAATGGGACAGAGCAAACCATAGACTTGTACTGACCATTTATGAGCATTTAAGTTAACTTTTATTCTGCTTCTGCTGATGGCAAAATTTAGGCAGGCTTGCAAGAGCTGCCTTGTCCTATAAGACAAAAGACTAGCCTAACCAGTCTCTTGCTAATAACTGGAGTGACCTCTAGTGGTTCTGATTTTTTTCATAGTGGAAAACACAAAACAAACCAGACTCACCCAAACTGTACACTGTTTTGCTTGCACTCAAAATTCAGAAGCTGATTAAATGGAAATTAGTCTAGTGTTTAATTGAATTGACTGATTTATTAATAGAAGCCTTATTTCTACCAGATAGTTTCAAGAATCTCTTCCCAGTATGACCACACCCTCACTTCCATTTGGCCTTCTGTCCATTATTACTGAGTTGGGGGAGTAATTTATTAGCATTCAATTAAAATGTATAGATGTATTTAAAATGTATAGGATGCTTCCCATGGGCAAGACACTGTGCTAGGCAGAAAAGAACATATCAAGATGAAATATGGACAGATCCCTTTGAAAATACTAAAGAAGTACCTACTCTTAAAACGTGCTAAAATAGATGTCGACACAAAGAATTACCACCATCTTATGCCTTATGGCTTTGTGGGCAACTTTGCTTTTTCTGCTATGGGAAGAAACAGATCCCCTCAGAATAAAACAAAATAAAGCATGCATATCCATTGATACACAAGAGAATTCTCACCCATGGGCTGGGAGGTTTGGCCAAGAGCAGAGCCAGGTAGCAAAGGAAAAATGTATCCTGCTATGGTTTAAAAAAAAAAAAAAACATTAAATAAAGCAAAATTCAAAATTCAAAAATTAATTAAAGAAGTCATTTTAAATGTGTTTATTCTGCAACCATACATCATTTATGTTCTAGGTAATTCTATCTTCAAATAAATGTACTCCTTTTTACAACAGCATTGCCTTAAATATGCAAGTGAAAATGAAAACTTTTTATACATTTATATGATTTTTATTTAAATAAGTCCATAAGTTATTTATATTGCCAAATTCTGTTATACACTGTAGAATGTTAGCAATGTACATATGGCCAATGTATAAAAAGTAAGAGTCCCAAAGAAAATACTAGTGTCCTGATATAAGGCCCATACTCTGATTTTTTTTTTTACTTGACGGGTATTTGAAACTGAAAAATATTTTTAGCTATCCATGCAAAGTGCAATTGTCTCTTATTTTTCCACTTGTACTTCATGAAGACCTTTGGTGATGTCTAGTTGACAGGCTAATAGCCTTACCACAAAGAGCTATTTAGACTTGGCAGAAATTTAGAAATTCCTGAAGCCTAAATCAATCTAAAAACCTCAAAACAAATTCACAAAACTTCAAATTCTGCCCTGGCAAAACTTTATTTGGTAATAGTGTGTAGGGGAGATTCATTGCAAACACAATGTCTTCTAACGCTGGAATTTTCCTGAAGCACTGGGTTTCATCATTGGGCATTCTGTTCCATTTCTTTTTAGGGTTTCTATTTAATGTCATTTATATTCAGCTTATGCCCTGGGAGTACAGAAATAGCCAGTTGAGAGTATATAAAATGTTCTGTTTTTAAAACTTATTTTTAAATTTGTTTTTATTCTTTTAAAATTATTTATTTCTTTATTTGTTTTCTTATTCTTTTTTATTTTTATTATATTTATGATTTATCTTATTTATCTTTAGCTGGTCATCAGTTTAAATAAACCTTAAAATGTTTCACATCTTAAAGATGTTGACCTCTCCAAGGTGGGGCTGGGCCTCATTAGGAGTTAAAACTGAGTGGAAAAAAACAATTCACAAAGACATATTACAGGAAACATTTATAGTAAAAAAATGAAAATTAGAATGTCATCTACATCAATACAATATGATGGTCTTTGAATTCTCATTGTCAAATCTTATTGGGTTCTATATTTAGTATTTAAAACTATATTGACAATCTATTAGCCTTTCATAAGAAATTAATATTCTTAGCAAACATTGATTGAGTGGTGCTTTGTACAAAGTTGAACATCTTACACTTTTTTCAGCATTTTTACTCAAGCATTGGGCTGATAGTATTAACAAATACTGCTATTAATTATTCGAACTTAAATATTACCACTTAAAACAACTATAAACATGTTTAAAACAAAAAAGAGACTGGTTGACAATACAGATTTAGAATTAACCCTTCATGATAAATGAGAGAAGCTATGATATTTGGGTGTCTAACTTTGACTCCAGAGAAGTAACAAAACTGAATACGGTGTTAGGGTCATGGGGTGATAACTGCTCCAGGACGTTTTAAAGAAAGTAAAGTTAGCTTTAAGCAGCTTCACACGATTATCAGAGAGGCAATAGTGATTCATGCCTTTGAAATTTTTGCAATTGGGTGTGTTGTTTCATACCATTCAGTTTTATCCACCTGCCATTTTAACCTCCCTTTCGAGTATTGGGGAACAGGTTAGAGCCTCTTGGTCCCTTGGCTAATGGTTTAGCTCAGCAGTCTGCTGCCACCTAGTGTCTAGGATAGAGTGTCGTCTATTAACTCACACTTGGTGACTGAAGGAAGAACTCCAACTGCTCACCAGAAAGTACATACTACAAAAGCAAGCACACATGGGTGCTATGATAATGGCTCCCAAACTGATCTAATGATGCCATCACATGATATTCAGTTCTCATCAACACATGTCTTACAATGGGAATGGCAGGACGTGGGGTGGGTAGGAGGGTCTGGTGGCAACAGTTCCAGTTTCACATTAAATCAGCAAACCACCTTACACATTTTCAAGCATCTGAGTCTCAAACCCGATTAAGTTAATGATGAGAATCCTCATGACTCCAGCCTTACCTGATGAGTTTCACTAACACGATCACAAAAGCTCTTGTAGAATTTCTGAGGGATTTACATTGAATTAGGTCTTCCATTTTCAGAGATACTTTTGGCTACTCGGTCTTAGCATAAGGGAAATTTCTCTTTATCTTGCCAACAAAATTATAGGCCTCTTTCCCTTAAATCTTCCATTTATATCAAGCTACAGTGGGATCATGTGTTACGTATGAAAGTCTACTTGTTACTAGGATATGACAACCAGTATTTGACATCCACTCTTCTTCCTGAGCCTGTTCCACTTATAGCTGTTCTGAAGAATATATTTCACTTCAGGAACCAAACACAGTGCTGTTACATAAAGTCTGATTGATAGGAGTTAAGGTGGGCAGAAGTTATCGAAATCTGAAAATCAAGTGCTTCAAGAGGAAAGAATGCATTATCATTAGAGCAGTGGGAAGATAGAATTGCCTGTGCTAGCTGGATGATTGGTGGGGAGCATCAGCCTCCACTGTGGATCCCAAGCACTAAGCCAGCCTGGCTTCCTGAAAACTGCTGACCTCAGAATGCAGGAATGATGTTGCCAGACGAGGTTCCCTTCAGCAGTCGATGGGCTCACAATGAAGGCTTGTTTGCTCATCTCACTGTGTGTCTCACTAGACTAGAATACTAGAACTCATGAAGAAATGGCCTCAGCAACTTGGAGCCAAAATGAGCACAGGGAATAAAAAAGAGAAATTAAAAATACCAGCCTCACCGTGACAGCCAATCTAACATCTCCCTCCCTGCTCATCTCTCCCTTCCCCTCCCTACTGATTATCTCAACATTCTTATACTTCCCTATTCTTTGTCCCTGTCATACACAGACACATGCACTCACATATTTATCCCTCCTCTTTCTTTTCTGCAAGAAATATATGCCACAGAATCACTCTTCTGGTAGTGAAACAACCATTGAGTTCAGTTAAAACCCACAGCTATAACATTTACCCATCCCCATTCAATTTCCCAATTGATTGCCAATCTTCCTCATCATTTCCTACATGGATATGGGCTTTAAATGCTACAGCATCATACACAGGATCTGTAAACAGAGCAAACATAATATTTATCTTTTCTTCTACAGTCCTGAATATTTTCATTTAAACAATCTCATTTATTAAGTTTAACCTGTAGCAAAGGCAAGACTCTTTCTCTGTTCTGATCATTAAGTACTTGGTTACCAGAAGGAAAACTGGATTTTAGATGAAGAATTTATTGTGATCGTGTTAGCTTTGTTGTATCCCTGAATGTTCAATGATATAGTTAATGAAGATGGGTCACTAAACCTATGTCACTCATGAGAAAAAATTCCTAGATGATAAACAGCAAGGCAACCCGCATGCAGGTATGAGTATATATGTGTATATGCATATGTATAGACACACACACACACAGAGGAAAAAATATATGAACATACTACAGAGATACTGAAGCCAGGAACAAGAATCTTAACTTAAATATTAGACAAAGAAAAGCTCCTTTTGTGGAAAAAAAACCACCTTAAAATACAAATTTTCAGTGCAGAACTTGAGTTACCAATGGATAGTGTTCATAGTAAGCCTGATGATAATAAAATGTCCATTTTTTGTTTTTTAGAGACAGGATCTCACTCTGTCACCCAGGCTGGAGTACAGTGGCACAATCATAGCTCACTGTAACCTCAGACTCCTGGGCTCAAGCCTTCTGCTTCAGCCTCCCGAGTAGCTCGGATCACAGGCATGTGAGACACACCCAGCTAAGTTTTTACTTTTTACTTTTTTTTTTTTTCTCATAGAGATGAGTCTCATTATGTTGCCCAGGCTGGTCTTGAACTCCTGGCCTCAAACCATCCTCCTGCCAAAACACTTGGATTACAGGCCTGAATTACCACACCTGGCCAATAAAATGTCTACGCTTGTTGGAAAAAAAACCCTCTGTTTATTGACACTTCCTGTATTATGTAAAGAAGGCCGAGAATCCTTTTGCACACTGTTTTATGAATATAACAGACAATACCCATCAATTGTGGCAGTGACTATACTGTTGTGCTCTTGGTAAGATGCTAAGAACAATCCTTTCTGTAAAAAGATGAAGAACGAAACCCTTGAGCAGTAAAAGATGACACATTCGACAAATGCTAGCTAATTTCCTGCAACAGAGCATAATGAAAGTGCGTGTGGACAGGGTGTGCGTTATCTGTAAAAAGAGAAGCAAAAAAAGAAACAAAAGCATCATCATATCTTTTGGTATCCAGAAATAAAATCCACTCAGTTAAATGGTGATTATGAGCAACTTTGAAAAGATTGTCAATATCAAATGCTATTTTTAAACAACCAAAGTTTCTCTTCATACATCTAGCAGTCTTACATTTTAATGAAACAGGCTCAAAATAGCACAACACATATTTCTAGGTTTTGATCATTAAAATTCTTCATCTGTGGACTACTAGCCATAAATAATCAACTTGAGAAAATAAACCAAACTTGATGGCTTTCTTGTTTCTTCTTACCATTTCTGGAACTTTGAACCTTTCCTTCCACACTCTCAACCAAAGATAGCCTAAACAAAGAAAGCCAGCTGTTTGCCCAATCTTTCCGATCGACCTGCATAAATCAAACTAGAAATGACCTTATTCCTTGTTTCAATGAAAAGGGACTTAGTGTCACAGCTAAACCTTTCACTGGAGAAGAGAAATGGGGTTGGCCAGAAAGACTAATGATAAACCTGCCAGTCAAGGTTTACTATAGAGAAACAACAGGAAATATCTATGAAGCTGTACACAGCTTGTCAAGATGACCAATGGAAGACCACATATATGACTTACCTTGACAATAACTTAAACTCTGGAGGTTCCTTCCACTGTAGTAAGTTTTATGATGCCCTTGAACCGAGGAAGCAGTGTGCTGTGCGGGGGGGAACACGGGATTTGCTGATAAACAAATCTCGGTTTGAATCCTCCAAAGTCTACTTACCAGGTGAATGGTTTCTACAATTTTTTAATGAATCTGAACTTCTTCATTGTAAAATGAGTATAAAATCTATACCTAATTGTATTGTGTGAGGAACTAGAGATAATATGCAAAAAAGTACCTAGAGCACATCTATAAACGTTATAAAGGGCATTATGGGAGTTGAGCTTTGTGAAGGCAGAGCTGTCCTTAATTGAAGTCACTCTACCATAGTCTGTTTCATCTCAGATATGTATTTGAAAGGCCCTTTCATAAGAGGTTCTGTAAAAAGTAGTGCTCACGGGGAAAGTGTTATTCTGAAATCATCCTTCTTAAAATCAACTTTCTGAACTGCCACGCAGTCTTGGCAAATATGAATTTCCATCACCTCTTTGCTACATGCCAGATTGGAATATTGAGAATGCTGTCTATTACTCAATCTAAGTAACGTACATTACTTTTAATTGGAGGTTGTTTCACTACCTTTTTGAATGAGGAGACTAATCATTCATCAGAAATATACGATTAAGGACTTTTGTGTTAATTTGGCATTATTGCCATTGATCCGAAAGTGTTGTTATCTTTTAAGCAAGAGCTGAAGTGAGTTCCTCCCATATGTTTTGGCAGAATTGGTGCATCTGTAAGATTCAGCGCAAAGCCCTCCATGGCTTGGCATAGCAGCTGCACAGATCAGTGCTCTGGGGCGTATTCCAAGCACGTCACCACATAGATTTGCAACAATAAATCAGAAATTTCAAATCTACTGAACAAAGTTTGCTACTGGATCTGTAAGTTGATTTACTTTTGCAAACATCTATTAAGCATCTTTTCATGTAAGTCACTGTATAAATATTATTTAACTTTTCAGCTATCTTGCCCAGAGCCCAAAAAAGCTGCAGAAAATATTTAATTTTACCTCAAAAAGCATTTTATGCCAGATAAAGAGAACACATACAAAGTTTCAAAGCTTCAAAGAAAGAAGAAATATTTCAGAAACCTACCAATATTTACTATGGTTTTATTAGAAGTAAATCTTAGACAGGCAAGGATTTCTTCAACTGCACAGTAAAAGCACTCCCAAAAAGAAAAAAGTTTTGATAAATTAGACTTTATAAAAACTAAAAATGTCTGATTATCAAGAGACTCCATTCAGAAAGTAAATAGACATACCACAGAATCAGAGAAAATGTTCATAATACATATGTGAAGATGAACATATATTCAGAACATATTTCAAAATTGCTACAAGTCACCAATTTTAAAAGTGTAATAAATATTAGCAAAAGTTTTGAATAGACACATTCCATAAGAAGATATACAAGTTGCCAATAACCACATGAAAGAGTTTTCAACATCATTAGTCATCCACAAAATGCAATTTATTTATTTAGTGAGACAGGGCCTTGCTCTGTCTCTTAGGCTGGAGTACAGTAGTACAATCTCAACTCACCGAAGCCTTGACCTCTCTGGCTCAAGCAATCCTCCTACCTCAGTCTCCCGAGTAGCTGGAACTGCAGGTGCACACCACCATGCCCAGCTAATTTTTGTATTTTTTGCAGAGACTGGATTTTGCCATGTTACCCAAGCTGGTCTCGAACTCCTGGGCTCAAGCAATCCACCCACCTCAGCCTTCCAAAGTGCTGGGATTACACGAGTGAGCCAGCGTGCCTGGCCAGTAAAATGCAATTTAAAATAAATAAAATACCATTTATACTCACTAGAAAGGCAAATATTGAAAGCAATGACAACACCAAGTGTCAGCAAGGACATGCAGCATTTGGAATTTGGAGCTCTCGGACCTTGCTGGTGGTGATGGCGTACAGTAAACCACTTTGGAGAACTATTTGACTTCCAGCAATTCCTCTCCTACCTATTTACAAAAGAGGAGTGATAATCCATGCCCACACACACACACACAAAAATTGACTTGTACAAGCATATTCATAGCAGTTTTATTTATAATAGCCCCAAACTAAAAATAGCTCCAGTGTCCCTTAACAGGAAAATAGTACACACATTGTGGTATTTTCCCATAATGGAGCACTCTTCAGTAATAAAAAGAAAAGCACTGCTGACGTACACTACCACCTGGATGCATCTCAAAAGCATCATGTTGAATGCGAGAAGATGGGTACAAAAGGCTACAGAGGGTATGACTCCACTTCTGTGAAATCCAAATTCAGACAAAATGAACGTATGGTTCTAAAAATCGGCTAGTGGTGAGAGGAGAATGTGGCTGGAAAGAAGCACAGAGACATTTTTAGTGGGGATGGAGATGTTCTCATCTTGCTTTGGATGGAGGTTACAAGGGTGTATACAAATGTTAAGTCTCAATGACTGAAAGGGCTCCACTTCTGCTAATAGCCAACTAGCTCCTACCAGGTTATTCTACCCTCTAATAATAACTATAAACTCTGGGGAAAATGTCAACAACAACAACAAAAAACTATCCGAAACTCCTGGAGAGTGAGGAAATCAGACATATACTGGAAGGCGAGTATTGTTTGGATAGACAGAATACAAGTGAGAGAATTTGGTATTCGTATGGCTTTACCCTGAGGGTGTACCACAGTCTATACCATGCAGAGCAGCTAAAGCTTGGGCA